TGTCACCAACAAAGATGTTAAACAGTGCTGATCCCAAATGTGAAGTGTCGTGGCACTGGAAACTTCCATCCTTCTGCCCTTCATTTTTTTTCTTGCTGTCCTAATTCCAGATTGCCAGTGCGGTCGAGGCCATCCTGACAGCAGATTCAGCCTCGCGGAAGCAGGAGGTGCAGGCTTGGGACGGAGAGGTTCGTCGTGTTTCCAAACACGCCTTTACTCTGCACCAGCTGCAGAATGATGTCCGCATCCCACCGTGGTGAGCATACTACTGAACCTAGCTGTACTGCTCTGTATCCCAGACCCACCCCCTTCAACAACTCCTGTCCTGGACTGCAGCAGCAGATCAGACTTTTTTTGTGAGTCTCTGAGTGTGCTTGTCATAGTAAACTCAGGGGAAATGGCAAACTAAGGTATTTCAGGACGTTCAGTGTTCTGAAATAGAAGAGGAATGAGATTGCTTATACTGTGGTCAGTGGGTATTAATGGAGAGGGCTTGGGAGGCGGAACCCAGAGGTTTTCACCCTGATCTCTTTTTCTCTGTTCCTTGTCGATAGCGGCTGGAAGTGCAGCAAGTGTGACATGAGGGAGAACCTGTGGCTGAACATGACCGATGGAGCCATCCTCTGCGGTCGGCGGTATTTTGATGGCAGCGGTGGCAACAATCACGCGGTCGAGCACTACCGGGAAACTGGCTACCCGCTGGCTGTGAAACTGGGAACAATTACTCCTGATGGGGCTGGTGAGAGGGGGATCATCCTCTGAGGGTTGTAGACGCCAGGCACCACTTGGGCTGGCTGTGGTCTCTGACAAGGGAAGGCAGGGAGGATTTCCAGGCTGTTCTTGCCTGGAACATTCAGTGTCATCCTGTCATGGACTTTCCTGCTCTGACCTGCTTCTTGTGGCAGGCAAAGAACGAGCTGATAGAACCTTTCCTTCCTCCTCCCCTCTCTTATAATTTGAAGGGTTTTAGAATAGTTATGCAGGTTACTGTCTTGTTTTCCGTGGTGGGACATTTATCAAATAATTATGTGTCCAGAGCCTGAGCAGAGAGGATACAGCGGCACAGTAACCCACTTCCCTCACTCCAGACATACACATAACTCTATACCTTGATCAACGACAAAGTTGTTTGTCTTGCCACAGGCTGTGGAGCAACCTCAATATTCTGTGTGTTGTGCTGATCCCCTGAGAAGAGAGAGAAACCCCAACTGCTTGGTTTATCAAAACGTCCAGTTCTCAGCACTCTCTTCGTCTAGCAGTGAATGTTAGATCACAGCCCGTGATAAGTCTCTCCTTTTCCTCTGTGTTCTTGCATAGACGTCTACTCCTATGATGAGGATGATATGGTGTTGGATCCCAACCTGGCAGAACACCTCGCTCACTTTGGGATTGACATGCTCAAGATGCAGAAGGTGAGGGGAGGTTCTTTTGCAGGCCCAGAGCGGGAGAAAAGGAATTCTGAAATTTCTTAGCTGGATCCCTGCTTTCCATGGCCATGCAGAACCACTGCTGGTCAATAAACCCAGTTTTTTATTAGGCAGAGAGTTGCCTCGTCTGCTTTTCTCCTTCCATTGCCTTTTTTGTCTTTCTCCCATGTCCCTCAGATTTCCTTGGGGCTGTGTTAGTACTGGTAGGCAGGGAGGTGCCCAGGCTCCGAGCCTCGCTCCCTAGATTCAGTGTTAGTGTGTGATTTCTGTACCCCTTTAGAGGGGATGGTTTGTATTTCTCTCATGTTTCTTATTCCTCCTTCTGTCCCAGGTATTCAGATACTTGAAAACAATTCTTGTCTTTTCCTTCTCTTCTCAGTTAATAAAACAGAATGGATTTGACCCCGTGTGTTTCTCTACAGCATTGCCTTCTTCACACCTCTGATGTTCCCTTGAGTCTTCTTTGAGGGTTTTTCCTGTTTTTTCTCTCCACAGACAGACAAGACAATGACAGAACTGGAAATAGACATGAACCAGCGCATTGGGGAGTGGGAGCTCATCCAGGAGTCTGGCGTGCAGCTCAAGCCCCTCTATGGACCTGGGTACACTGGTATCCGTAACCTGGGCAACAGTTGCTACCTCAATTCTGTGATGCAGGTGCTGTTCAGTATCCCAGACTTCCAGAGAAAGTAAGTGAGCTTCATCGTTCCTTTCTACTGGCCTGGGATCCCCTGGGATCAGTACAAAGGTCTCCTAGAGCTGGGAGCTTCTGTGACAGTAATCAGGCTCAGAACTGGCTCTTTTATAGGTGAATCCGCATGTCCCTTAGATTTCTGCGGTTTGCTTCGCAGGTATGTGGACAAGCTGGAGAAGATATTCCAAAGTGCACCTTCGGACCCCACACAGGACTTCAGCACACAAGTGTACGTAGAGTTTTGGTGAGAGAAGGAAGGCTGAGGCTGCCTGGGTGCGTCCCCTCTGCGCTGCTACAGTGTGCTTTGCTGCAGGTTTCTCCCTCAAGCCTCGCGCCTCTCTGTTTCCATGTCCCTCACCAGAGACACTGATCCTCAGTGATCCATAAGGGTGTAAGCCACGAAAGTCGAGCTGAATGCCCTAGATGGAGAGAACAGAGTGCACCTCAGTGTTCATGAGAGGCTCTTAAATGTGTTGTGTGGGGAAGGCAGTAGTATCTGTTACCACGGGGGGATTTCTGGTAGGGGTATTCTGTCTGCATTACAGCAAAAAGGGGCTTGCTTTCTGCAACGGAGGGAGCTGGCTGAGAGCAAAGAAATACATAGACTTAGGCAATTTTAATTTCAGTAGATAATCTATATGTGCTTAAAGACCCTTCTTCCTGCAAGAGGTGTTGTGTGAGCAATAGCAAGAGAATGTACAGGAGGAGGAACACAAGATTTGGGAGGGTGTTGCATTTTAAATACACGAATTCTCTGCTACATCTGCTCTAAAACAGCAAAGTGGTATATGGAGGTTTGGGGTGGAGGAATGGAAGGTGGCATTTGTGGAAGGGAGTTCAGTGGTAAGGGAGGATTCTAAATTTGGACAGCCTGGGGTGAGGTGTTCACTGAGGAGGGGATTAAGTTGAGACAGCCAGAAAGATTTTTGCCGGGGCAAAGGAAGGAATTGGTAGGGTTTGGTTTCAGACAAATGGCAACAGTGATGGGGAGGGACTGGAGTGAAGTGGAATAGTAGAAGAGTCTGAGCATAGGAGGAAATTGCTGAATGTTACTGTTGTCCATTAAGTGCCTCCTGTAGTTATTCTTGATCTTTCCCCTGGCAAAATGTGATCAGTCTGCTCAGAGCAATGCTATTTCTGGCTCAGACAATCCCACTCGGCCCTGTTGTCTCCTGCACAGTCAGTCAGATGCACACTGCTACGTTGCACACGTAGGCCGCGGCTTGGTTTGGCTGTTAGGCAGCTGCTGTATGGCTCAGCACCACCTGCCCTTCTCAGGGGGAAAAGGAAGTTTCTCCTTTATCCTCTCCCCACTGTGCAAGCAATAGTTGAGATTACTGCCCAGAAGTCCTAGTAACTTTCAAGGTGATAATGTCTCATGATACCAGAGAGCAGCCCAAGATAAGATGATCTTGGCTGGTGCAGCAGAGAAAACTGATCTCTGTGAGACTCATAGTCCATAGCAGTGTTAAAGGTGGATGGGTTGATGTGGCTTCTGGAATATGTGGGACTGAAGAAACCTTTTTTCCAGTTTGTCCAGCTAATAGTGACTTCTTCATCATTCCAGAGCCAAACTGGGCCATGGACTGCTTTCTGGGGAGTATTCAAAGCCAGCTTCAGCAGATGGGGAACAGCAGCCCGATCAGAAGGTGAGACTTGGATACGGCATCCTCATGAAATGTGTGTTGCATAAGGTATTGGGGAAGGAGGGAGAACCCTTTCTGAAGACGTGTTCTAGGGCTTGTTCCAGGGCCCTGTCAGTTGGCTAAGAGTAGAGTGCTACATGCCAGGACATGCTTGGCAAATTATGACCACCTTCCTCTTCCTTGTTATTTGCAGGGTATGCAAAATGGCATTGCTCCACGGATGTTTAAGTCCCTCATTGGAAAGGGACACCCAGAATTTTCCACTAACCGACAGCAGGATGCCCAGGAATTCTTTCTGCACTTCATCAACATGGTGGAGGTAATGGTTGAGTCTGTCTGTCAAATAATGGAAAAGCCCAGTTTTTTTTCCTCCCATCAACACAGGGTGAGGATCGGAGGTGAGAAGCTGGCAATCAGAGCTGAGAGAGTGAGAGAACACAAGGAAGTGGGCCCAGCTAGCACTGTGGGAGCAGAGGAGATGCTTGGCTATGTTTTCAGGGGCTGATTCCTTGGAGCAATCTGTCTTGGGAATGGCACAACTGGAGATGTAAAT